GTGCCAACCTCTGTGCACCCTGAGGATATAGGGTAGTGCCTCTGCTTTGCTACTTTGGGCCAGTTAGTGAACTTAACTGCTATAACATATGGTCTCAATTCCAAAATGGGAATACTAGGAGTTCTTGGGGATTAAGTGAGATAATTCAGAGGGTATGCTACATGCCAGGGAAGTTATTGCAGTTGTGATTAACCTCAAATTCAAGCAGGAGAGAACTCTGGCACTTGTACTTTTTAGCTCAGGGCAACTGTAGAGGATGATACCCATGTCATAGCTGGTGACTCCTAACCAATCCTGACCATTTCACTCTCTTGTTTCTTATATTTTCCTGCTTTCCCTTCTCTAGCCTCTCCATTCAAATATCATGGTAGCTTCTCCCCTTCCCTTATATTGTCATTGAGCAAAGCAGGATACTATGGGATCAGGGATTCTGATAAGATTGCATTGAATCTGTACATTGCTTTGGGTAGTAAAGACATCTTAACAATAAGTCTTCCAATACGTGAACATGGAATGTCTTTCCATTTATTTGTATCTTTTTTCATTTCTTTCACCAACATTTTAATTTTTTAATATATTTTATTGATTATGCTATTACATTTGTCCCATTTTTCTCTCCCCTTTATTCCCCTCCACCCTGCACACCACTTTCTACCAGCATTTGACCCTCCACACCCCCCTGCCTCCCTTAGTTCATGTCCATGGGTCATACATATAAGTTTTTTGGCTTTTCCATTTCCTATACTGTTCTTAACCTCCTCTGTATATTTTGTACCTACCATCTATGCTTCTTTTTTTTAAATTTAATTGTTGTTCAAGTACAGTTTTCTGTCTTTTACTCCCATCCCATCTATGCTTCTTATTCCCTGTATCTTTCCCTACATTCTCCCCACTCCCCTCCCTGCTGATAACCCTCCATGTGATCTCCCATTTCTGTGAATCTATTCCTGTTTTAGTTGTTTCCTTAGTTTATTTTTTAGGTTGATAGTTGTGAATTTATTGTCATTTTACTGTTTACATTTTTTATCTTCTTTTTTCTAGATAAGAAACATTAACATTTAACATTTCATATAATAAGCACTTGGTGATGATGAACTCCTTTAACTGACCTTCTCTGGGAAGCACTTTATCTTCCCTTCCATTCTAAATGACAGCTTTGATGGGTAGAGTGATCTTGGATGTAGGTCCTTGTCGTTCATGACTTTGAATACTTCTTTCCAGCCCCTTCTTGCCTGTAAGGTTTCTTTTGAGAAGTCAGCTTCTAGTCTTATGGGAACTCCTTTGTAGGTAAGTTTCTTCTTTTCTCTTGCTGCTTTTAAGATCCTCTCCTGATTTTTAATCTTAGGTAATGTAATTATGAAGTGGCTTGGTATGTGCTTCCTTCGATATAACTTCTTTGGGACCCTGAGCTTCCTGGATTTCCTGGAAGTCTATTTCCTTTGCCAGATTAGGGAAGTTCTTCTTCATGGTTTTTCAAATAAGTTTTTAATTTCTTACTCTTCCTTCTGGCACCCATATGATTCAGATGTTGGAATGTTTAAAGTTGTCTGGGAGGTTCTAAAGCCTCTCCTCATTTTTTTCAATTCTTGTTTCTTCATTGTGTTCTGGTCGAATGTTTATTTCTTCCTTCTTCTCCAAACTGTTGATATAAGTCCTGGTTTCCTTCCTGTCACTGTTGGTTCTCTGCACATTTTTGTTTATTTCACTTTTCATAGCCTTCACTTTTTTCTCTATTTTGGAACCATATTCAACCAATTCTGTGAGCATCTTAATTACCAGTGTTTTGAATTGTGCATCTGATAGGTTGGCTATCTCTTCATCCTTTAGTTCTATTTTTTCTGAAGCTTTGATCTGTCCTTTCATTTGGGCCATATAATTTTGTCTCAGTGTTTCTGGTATGTTGTAAGGGCCAGAGTTTTCGGTATTCACCAGGGCAGGGCAACCCACGACACGGCGTCGTGGCACTATATGTAAGGGAGGGGTCTGAGAGGGAACAGTGCCACTTGCTCAGCTCTCCCTCAGCTTTCAGTCATTTCCTCCACTACCCACAAGCAAATTGGGCCCTCCTGGTGCTGATTCCCAGGTGGGTAGGTTTGTATGTTCTAGAACCCTGTGGGTCTCTCTCCTGTGAGGCTGGGCATTTCTCTCGCCACCACAACCCTCATAGGTTTTTTCAGAGGTTTTGAGACTTTATTTCCCTGTGCTGGAACTTTGGTTTGCTCAGTCTGTCTTGCTCCCCAGTTGTCCCTCCCAGTTTATCCACACGCAAATATGGGACTGCCCGGTCTGCCAGCCACTGTTTCACCACAAGAACTTTCTGCCCCAGCTGCCCATTTCCACACCTCCTACTGGTCTGGAAGAATGTTTTTTCTTTAACTCCTTGGTTGTTGGACTTCCATATAGTTTGATTTTCTGGCAGTTCTGGTTATTTTTTTGTTTTTAAATGTGTTGTTGTCCCTCTTTTGGTTGTGCGAGGAAGCAAACTGTATGTACCTACGCCTCCATCTTGGCCAGAAGTCCCATTTTATACTTTTTAGTATACAGATCTTTCTTTGGTTATGTTTATCCCTAAATATTTTATTCTTTTTGGTGCCATTGTAAGCAGAATTGTTTTCTTACATTCCTTTTCAGATTGTTCATTGTTAGTATATAGAAACATAACTGATTTTTTGTATGTTCATTGTGTCTTGCAACTTTGCTGAATTCATTTTATTTATTCTAACAGTTTTTGTGAGGGGGAATCTTTAGGACTTTCTACATATATAAGATCATATTATCTGTGAACAGAGGTAACTTTACTTCTTTTTTAGTATGGATGTCTTTTATTTATTTGTCTTGACTGATTGCTCTCACTGTGTTGAGTAACAGTGGTGAGAGTGAGCACCCTTGTGTTGTTCCTGATCTTAGAGGAAAAGGTTTCAGTTTTTCACTGTTGAGTATAACATTAGCTGTGAGCTTTTAGTACATGGCCTTTACTATGGGTTTTTTTCAGTGTTTTTATCATGAAAGGGTATTGAATTTGGTCAGAGGGTTTTCTGCATCAGTTGAGGTGATTATGTGGGGTTTCCCCCCTTCATTCTGTTGACCAGACATTTTTATGAAGCCAAATTGTATCAGACTCAAGAAGCAAAACTGATAAAAATTTTTCCCCTTTTGAGAAATTAGCTGGTGAGGAGATGGATATTTTGACTTAAATGTTAAAGGAGACCCAAAGACTGAGTCTGGCACAGACCTGTGACTTCATTCCTCTGTTAAATATTTCCTTTTTATTTCTCCTATCATTTCCCATTAAGTGCTGTGCTCAAGTGGTAAACATTAGTTGGTTAATTAAATATTTGAGCCCTCCTTTTAAGTGTGAGGATTCATAGTAACTGCCAGTAAGAAATAGTTTTCCAAATAAATGGTGAGTTGGTTTGTGTGGGGCGGAGTGCATCAATTTACCTTCAATCCTCATTGGAGGATATGTTTGTTGATTTTGGAGAGAGGGAAGGGAAGAAGAGAGAGAGACAGAAAGAGAGGGATGGAGAGGGAGGGAGAGAGAGATACGTTGATTGGTTGCTTCCTGTATGCACCCCAACCAGGGATCAAACCTGTAACCTTTTGTTATACGGGACAATGCTCCAACCAATTGAGTCACCTGGCTAGGGCTAGACTGCACCATTTAAAGATTTTATTTATCTATTTTTAGAGAGAAGGGAAGGGAAGAAGAAAGAGAGGGAAAGAAACATCAGTGTGTGGTTGCCTCTCACGTGCCCACTACTGGGGATCTGGCCTGCAACCCAGGCATGTGCCCTGACCGGGAATCGAACTGGTGACCCTTTTGTTCCCAGCCCACACTCAATCTACTGAAGTACACCAGCCAGGCCAAGAGTGCACCATTTAAAAGTCAGCTCTGAAAGGCAGGACCACAGTTCAATATTCTGTAGCAAGAATATTGACCATTAATCATTCATTTGATTTCCATGAAGAGTCAGAGATGTCTTATTTAGGAAGAAGTACATATGGATGAAATGATAATAGTATCTGGAATAATTTGCTTTTAAATAACCTACTGAGAGTTGGAGCAGGAGAAGGGGTAAAAATGGAACTACAGTGACCATATAGTAAGCTCATTATATATTCTCTATAATTTTATATCTGTTTGAAACTTTTCATAATGAAAAGTTCAAAAAAGAAACTCAATATAAATTGACAGTGTGGCTTTATAGCAAAATATTATATAGCCATTACAATAACACCTAGGAAAAAAAGAATTAGTAAGAAAATCAGGAAGTCAGTCTTCCTAATATGGTATGTGTGTGCATATACACATAAATATTTGCATAGAAAAATATGGGAAGGAAATACATTAAAACATTAACTGCGATTATTCTTGGTTGGTAGGACTATGGATGGTTTCCATTCACCATATCTTCCAAATTTTTTATAGTGAATAAGAGAAAAACATAACTTCTGAAAACCCCCTTTTTTTTAGAGAGAGAGAAAGGAACCAGATCTGAATTATGTAAATTGGTGAAGGATTTTCTTTTTTTTTTCAATTGAAGTTTACATTTGACACCATTCTGTATTAGCTTCAGATGTACAACAAAGTATCCAGAAAAATCACATATTCTACAAAGTGGTCCCCCCACTGCCCCAACATCCACCTGGTTCTATACCTCTCTCTCTCTCTCTTTCTCTTTCGATATTATTGACTGTATTCCCACGGTGTAATCCACATCTCTGTGGCTATTTTGCAACTGAATCAGTGAAGCATTTGTCCCAGTCATCTATTTTCTATTATAATGCTCTGGTCAGTGATTAGATAAGTGCCTCTGTAGTTATTAGTCCTGAGTCATGGACATGGTTTTGAGTGGTACTGTCCAGTATTCTGCTGTGCAATCTTTGTTGGTGTATGGGTAGACAAGGTCAGAGACAAGAAGCAGGAACCACCACCATTTCACTCATTGTTAATTCCTTTTAATCATGTTCTTTTAATGTGAACTTCCATCTGATTTTAGTGACCTGGACATGATTTCCACAAGGGTGATGGACTTTAAGCTCCGGGAGGCCGCAGAAGGCCTTGGGGAGGACAGCACAGGTAAGGCCCTCGTTCCCTCTGCTCTGGGAATAGCCTCATTGAGTTGTGGGGCAGGGAGAGGGGCTGATGAAACCAGGTCTTAGGGCTTCTCTGCATGAAGAGTGGGACTTCAGTTCACAACATGCTTTGACACACCACGTCCCTTGTACTGTAACTAGAGACTACCTCAGGAGGTGATCCTTCTTTGCTTCTCTGTCAGACATGGAGGATGGCTTAAGGTAATTTTCCTCATTCCTGTCCCAACGTTTGGTTGACTTGAAAATATAAGGAAGAGAGGTGCAATGGAATAATTTATTACCCAAGAACATCTGAAGGTACCAGTAGGAGGTTGGGCAAAGTATTAGATAGCCTGATCATCCAGACAAATGATACTCACAATAGAAAGCCTTTAATTCCTCTTTTATGGCTTTTCTTTTTTGGAGATCTTATAATATCCTCTACTGAGCTGAATTCCAGGCCCATGAATCATCATCTCATAATATGTCCTAAGAGTTACCCAATTATGTGATTACTGTTACTCATATATTGCTATTTATGTCTTCATAGAGTTGTAAAATTGACATTATAAAGCATTGATCTCCCTACAACATAGCTTTTCCATAGATCAGCCATTTAGACTCACCTTATTTTGGTAACAAAGGTCTCCATCTCTTTCTATTTAAAGTCAAAATGCTAGTAATCATTTTTAAATATAGCTCAGGGGCAGTAGCTTCAATAATATTAAATCCTAGCTGCTAACCATTAGCTTCAGATATTCATCTAATTGAAGACTCTATTTCATATATTTTCAATAGATTTTTCTTATCATTCTATATTAGAACTACTTTTCCTCTGTCACAATTGAATACATACTCCTCCCCAAAATAGATATAAGGTAAAGTTTTTAAAATTAATCCTGAGAAAAAATGAGTTGCAAAATTTCTCACATCATGGGACACTAAATTATTACTGATTTTAAACAATAAAATACTGTTTAAAGTAGTTCATTGTCCTGAACAACCTCCATAAACACTGGTTTGTGGTACTTACTGAGGTCACCATGAAGAATCAATTTTTTAAAAGAAAGAAAAGCTATTCCTTTTCTTTTCAAATAATAGTTTACTAAGTTATTCAGATCAACCTCTTCCCATTTAAAATGCAAAATTCTAAACAAGAGCATTCTTTTAAAAATCTTTTCAAAAGTAAGAAGCAATGAGACCAAAATTAGAGAAAACAGTAAGCCAGAAAGATAAGTGAACATGGAAGCCACTTTTGCCTTCAGATCATTCACTAATCTTTGAAATTTTAAATTTCATTTTTATGTCCTCACGAGGTGGGATATGAGGGGGAGGGTCAGATATCAAGGTACAGACCTGTACCAGGTGGGCCCCCTCTAATAGAAGACCCTCCCTAAAATAATCCGGGAGCCAAAGGAGCAATAAAATCTGAGTAATTATGAAGCAGAGGTAAGTCAGCTGTTGTCTGGACATATAGCCTGAGTTTGCACCAGTTGGGTAATTTAGAGAATCTCAAGCCTTGAACTTGGCTAATAGTAATTCTAGACTGTGACCCCAGGTACCTTGCAGAGGGAAACAGTCTTCTCTAAAGGAAGGCACCTTCTACCTAGACTTCAAATTATTACAGAAACTAATGTTTTCAATACTATGATAAACATACAGTGAATGACAACCAGACATATAAGGCAACAAGGCACCATGAATGAGAACCAACTTGTTACAGGTTGAATTGTGTGCCTTCAAAATTTATGTGTTAAAGTCCTAACCCCCAGTACCTCAGAATGTGACCTTATTTGGAATTGGGTCTTTGCAGGTGGGTTAGTTAAGATAAGGTCATATGGGGGTATGGGGCCCCTAAACTAATGTAACTGATGTCCCTATCCAAAGGGAAAACATGGACATAGACTGCACAGGGTGAACACAGTGTGAAGGTGAAGTCAGAGATCCGGGCAGTGGCATCTACAAGCCTGAGAACTCCAAAGATGGCCAGCAAATCACCAAAAGTTCAAGGAGAGAGATGGAATGGATTTCTCTTCCCCTGTCTAAAAATAAATAAATAAAATCTTTTTAAAAATAAAAAAATTAAATTAAAAATAGCTAAAATTAATAAATTAAATTGCTTAAAAATTAACTTGCTAAGTATTCATCTCATGAAGTTTAAAAAAATAGCAAAGTAACCCTGGCTGGGTGGTATGCTTTTTGGCAGCATCATCCCATAAACTAAAAGGTTATGGGTTTGATTCCTAGTCAGGACACACTCTTGGGTTGCGGGTTCAGTCCCCCTTCAGGGTGTGGACAAGCAGGGCATCCAGTCAATGTTTCTCTCTCACATTGATGTTTCTCTCTCTCCCATTCCTTCCCCTCTCTCTAAAATCAATAATTACGTCCTCAAGTGAGGATAAAAAAAAAGATAGCAAAGTAAACCTGAAAAAAGTAGGAAGGAAAGAATAACAATAGGAACAGAAATTACTACAAAAAATAAACATTCAGTGAAGAGTATTAACAAAGCCAAACATTTTTAAGGCAAATAAAGTCAACAACCCTGTGATGAAATCAATCAAGGAAAAGGAGGAGGCACAAATAATATCAGAGCTGAAAAAGAGAACTTTTATAACAGATAGTGTGGATGCTAAAACAATAAGAGGATGTTAATAACTATAGGCCAATAAATTTGAAGATTGGAAAAATAAATTCCTAGAAAAATGTAACACTAAAACAGATTCAAGAAGTAGAAAACCTGAGTAGTACCTGTCACCAGTAAAGAAATTGAATTTAAAAATCTAGCAGGTGAATAAATGTAGCATAACAGGACCCTAGGTAGATGGCTGACTAATCACTGAAAGTCAAAACAAAAAGTGTTCGGCATGAGGCTGGGTCTGGGCGGCCACTCTTACCCATACCCACTAAGCAGCCGAAGCCTCTTTGACTGTAAAGGACAGTGAGGCCTCTTGTTTGCTCAGACTTGCAGGGATGTGTACCCATTTGTCAACTAGGAAAAGGCAAATGCAGTGAACTCTTAAGAGTCTTTCAGATAAATAGAGTCTCTATGAGAACCACCAATTAACAACGCAATCATTTCGTGATTAGAAAGGGAGGAACACTTCATTAGACATTAAGAAGACCTGGCTGTAGAACTCAATTCCCTTTGGGCAGGGATTTGCTCCACCTAAGACACTTTAGGAACTCCTACTAGAGTAATGCTAATTAATTCTCCACATCAGAGCAAGGTTGTGTTCCCTTCCTTAGGAGGCGTTAATATAAACAAAATATAACAATTTCATTTACTTTTTAAGGAATTCCACTTACAGAATTATTTATGTATAAAACTAATAAACTGTTTCAGCAGATTTTCAGGATACATTAGACAGCTTCCTGGTTACCCACGATGTTGCATCCTTCCATTGTTTTTCTTATAAGATATGGAAGGAAAGCAAGGAATTCTGCTTAGCTGCTAATGTGAAATCACAGGATCCCACATATGATGGAACATGTGGGTGAGAATGCAGGAGGCAAGTGTTGTGGATTCTAACAGTCCAGGAGGCATGGCACAGTCAGGCTCAGCACTGCCTTTGGATTCCCACAAGCACATCTTGCCCACAAGGCTGGCCCTTCACTGACTGCTCCTGGTGCTCATGTCCATGCTGAAGGAAGCACCTAAGATTATTTTGAAAAATAATTTGGGTTATGACATGGTCTTTACCTCATCAGGACTTTTTGCTTTTGACTGTGTATTTCAGAGATCAAAACTTGATTTCAAGTGAGAGGAAAATTGCTTATACTTTGATTCTGTGATTGTGCTCCAGAGCTTTCTTGGCTCTTTTATTAAATGTCCAAACTAAATAGAAATAAAGATTTGTTTCCAGGATGCAAAAATGGGGCGCTGTGTGCTTCCTGTACCTCTGTGTGGTAAAAGGACTCTTCAGGAATGAAAGCTCTGGTGCACCGACAGAAAGCTGCTTTCTCTCTTTTTCGTGCATGTCTCACACAGGCTCGGCGAGCACTCACATGCATTTCTTCTGCGCAGGAAAGAAAAAATCCAAATTCAAGACATTTAAGAAGTTCTTCGGGAAGAAGAAAAGAAAGGAATCTCCTTCCTCTACAGGAAGTAGCACCTGGAAACAAAGTCAGGCAAAAAGTGAGGTCATTGCCATTGAGTCAGGGCCAGTGGGCTATGACTCAGAGGATGAGCTTGAGTAAGTTACTTTTCACATCCTTGGGGGTAGGGGTGCTGCCTGAAGACTGTGTTGTTGTCATGTAAGTTGCTGGATTTCTGAGCCTACTTTCTTCCTAGGGAATTCCTTGGCAGTCTCCCACGGAAGTTGTGCTTTCTGTCTTTTCATACATGGAGAAAGTTGGAACAAAATTATTAGGCATCTGCTGTGTGCCAGGCACTGCATCTATTAAAATTCTGTGATAACAGTGGGATGGGAGATAGGATATACCTACCATTTTATAAATGAGCAAACCAAGCATCAGCAAAATTTTGGAGAACTTGCCCAATATCCTACACGTGAAAGTGGCAAGACTGGAATATGAGCCCTGATTTAATTTGACCTAAAATTCTTTTGGGGACCTGGATACTATAACAGGAAATACATCTTTTTAAGCTTGAACTTTGACTAATCTAATAAGAAAGTTTTGAGAAAGACGGTGGCGGGGGCGGCGGAAGAAAGAGACAGAGACAGAGAAACAGACAAGAGAGATGGGAGGGGAAGATTTTCTGTTACTCTATCTTAGAAAAATTATCCAAAAATATTTTTAGGAAGAACAGACTCAATAGGTTATGACAGTTTTGGGAAGTCTTTTTAATTTTCTAACTTGTATTTCACCAAAATATAGTTACGATACTTATGTTCAGTTATTCCAGCAGTTTTATCTGTGAGTAAAAAGGAAAAACCAGATTTGTTGCTATGACAACTTTTTTGTTTTCTTTGAAACAACATTGGCCCTTAATTTGAGGATAAAACTCTTCAAAGGCATAACGACCCTCGGGACTGGGAAACAGACCACAGGAGATGCCCCCCCCCCACCCCCCCCCCCCCCCCCCACCGGCTTTAGCCTCCCAGAGGTGTGTCTGCCTGCCCTGCTCAGCATTCGCCTTGCTGGTTTCTAATGGAGCAGAAATCACACTGACCACTTGATGGCACCAAATGACTGATGAGGAAAGATTCAAATTTTTTCTGTCAGATTTTGTTTGTTTTTTTGTTTTTGTGGGGTGGTGGTGAACTGTGATTCCCACACCGCACTTTGTGGAGCACAGATAGGTTGGACCGAACACTGGAATTTCAGGCGGTATGTTCCAAACTCTTCAGATGGAGACATTATCAAAATATTGATACATTGCTAATTATTAAATGTCTTCACTGGGCCAGACCCAGGAAACTGTAACACTCACTTCAGTCACCCCTCCAGACTAGGACACAGTTCCGATGTCCTGGGAGTGACCCCTCTAACTGGGGAACAACAGGAGCATAGCAAGAGGGGTAAGCAGGGTCAAATGACCTGTCTGCTTGTCCATCTGCTCTATCACAGGAGCCCCTGGGAAGGTGGGGACTGTGTCCTTTTCATCTTTATATTTCCAGCACTTAACAGAGGCCTGGGCCTCTGTTTACTGAAAATAGTTTGCTGGATTGATGCTGGGAAAGGAAGCTTGAGGGTGGAGTAAGGTGGGGCTGTAGAAATGCAAATAATGTTTTTAGAGAACAGTGTGGAGGACTGGCAAGATCTTAAAGGCACTCTTTGGCCAATGCAAGAGACACTGCAGTAACTGCTCATCTATCACCATGGCCAGAAGAATTCTAGCCAAGACACATTAATGCTGGCAAAGCCCATGGGACTTGGTGACTTTGAAAAGTTGATGCCCATTTATTGCATGTGGTTATGCCTCTTAAATCTCTTAATCTGTAACAACTCCCTGCTCCTTTGTTTTATGTCACTGATCTGCTGAAAGAGCAGGGTTGGTTGCTCTGCAGAATATCCCACATTCTGGCTTTGTTTTCTCTTCGCATGACTGAACTTGTTTCCATATTCTCTGAATTTCTTGCAAATCATTAGATGGACCTAAGTATTAAGTTAGAGTGAGGTTCAAGATGATGCTTTTCAGATCACAAGGGACCTACTTTTGGTTGTCCCACTTCTGATGACTCTAAGACTGAGCAGTGGTTTTGGGAATTCTTAGTGTGATCCCTCCACCATTCTTTACCTAGGGCTGTTACTACCCACTGATGGTCATTGCCTAGATCCATCATTTTATTGCAGAATGGTAGTCTTTCTAGTTGTATCATTTATTCTGCATGTGCTGGCTGGAGTTCTATGAAGAAGACCTTTCCTTCATTAACTCCTTGGTGGTTCTGAAATACCGAAAGGGCAGGATAATGCTTATATAATTATCTTTTTATTGATGTACCTTCAGAGTGATGACCTAGTACCCTAGCAACTTCCAATACTGACCAATGAATTTTTTAATATCATTATTAAGGCATGGATTTTTATATATTTGATTTGCTTTAGCCCCTGACAACCTTCATTGATCTTTTATGCTCACACTGTCCCATGTTACGCTATTGGGAGTACTTCAAATTAGCTCCTGGGTTCTTTTAACATGATCCCACCTGTCTCTGAAAGCTTCTTTGCTTTCTTGTACAATGAGAAACCCGATGTTTATGTTGCACATTCCTGTCCTATACCTGTAATCAGCCATTTCGTCACAGGGTCCTAGCTTGTTTTAGTGTGAAATGGTTTTAGGAGACCACGGACTGGCTGCCAGGGTCATGGTTATTAGGTAGTTGGCTGCCATTGCTTCTAGACCTTTCCAGTTCAAATAGCTATGAAACAGGCTTCATTTTTTTAAGAGAAAAATAAACCATTAATTCATGGATATTTCTGGTTTAAATTTAATAAGATAAAAATTTTACTTATTTGATTCTTTATTTGCATTTATTTTTCTCTTATACCAGATATCTTCATTCCTAATCATACCAACAGAATTATTTTCTTTATTATATAATATACTTACAATAATTTCATTGCCCTCCTTTCCCACACAGAGGTTATATACTATAAAGATTGTTCTTCACTATTTTTAAAAACATCAGTTTTTGCTGCTAAGATGACTACCAAGTGTGATTTGATATCTTTATGGTTGTTGTTCTTAGAATTAATCCTGTTACACATGTAGAGTCAAAAGTTACTTGGATGTGGAGTGAAACTCACTTGAGATCACTTTTTTCTGTGTGGTTATGCCAACAACCTGATGTAAAATTTGGCTTGTTTCTGGTGGTTTTCTAGTTTGAGAGATTGTTTTATTTCCTTTTTGTTTGATTTGTCTTTTAACTATGTAAAATGTTACTAAATTAAAATGTTTACACAGTTTCCAAGGCAAAATCGTGACTGGGGTACCATGGCACCCTGTTTCCCATCTTGTTCTGTCTTTCCCCCCAAAGGAAATCATTTTTATTAGTTTGTTACTTATCCTTTTATTTTAAAAAATATAAGCAGATACACACATAGGTTTGCATTTGTTTGTATGCATTCAACCCCCTTCCCCACACCAAGCCAACACACCGTGAATGCTGTCTGCACCCTGCTTTTTATTTTTCACTTAGCACAGTCTGGCACTGCTTGAATGCAGTTTACAGGGTCCTCCTCTCCCACTGGTCAGCTGCAGTCTCCACGATGTCATGTTGCTCTCCCGAGGGACGCTTGGGTTGCTTGTATAAACATTGCTGTCGTTAGTGGCCTTGTGTTTCTGCCAGTGTATCTTTGCAGAGGCCTTTTCATTCTCTCCTAAGCCCCAGATCCGCCCAGAGTGGGGGTGGCTGGGCAGTGTTCATGGTTCCCCACAGGTGTGTTTACACCCCCAAGGGTGTGGCCAGGGGCTGCCGGAAACCAGGTGTGCCTGTGATCCTTGTGACAAAAGCTGCCATTGGTGGGGGCTACCTGGTGCTTTCACTTGGCCCAATTCCCTCCCAGAAATGTAAAGACATGCTCTTCTGGGGGCTATGGGCTCCCCACTTACAAATTCACTATTGCAGGCTAGAAAGTAGTTAGAGAGCATCACTAACCAATACAATTAGATTTGCAATAGAGCAGGGCCACGCCTATGAGTCCCTAATACCTCACAGAGGACAGGATGTGGGGGGCAGGGTGGTGTGTGGGGCCATGGTGTACAAGATGGTCTCTGGAGGCGGGCTTTTCTTCTTTCAGCGTTGGGTCTTAATCACCTCCTTCCACCTATTGTTCAGGCAGCCACTGCTGCTAGGAAAACCCGACAGCTAACTCCCACATCCTCTTAGAACATTTTGTGAATGTCCTGTGGGTTCAGTTCCAAATCGAAGCCTTCAGCTGGAGAAGAGGCTGGGGATGGGACTGGGCTGATGATGACAGAGGTGCTACCATCTACACTCCAGGACTGAGACATACAGGTTAGGTTGCGCAGATCTTGTTAGGTAACTTGTAGATGGCATGGCTTTGCAGATATGCAGTTCTCATTTCACACTTCCCCGTGGATGTGCGCTCTGGGCCTTATGAGGGGGCCTGTCAGGCAGGCCCTCGACCTGCGACCTGCTGGGCAAGCACGGCCTCTGGCCCGCCAAGCTGCTGTGTGTGTACCGACAGGAATGACCTCATCCTCCCAACAGCCCAGCTAGCCAGCCAGCCGAGGCCCCTGTCTCAGACCTCACACCTCACCCGACCTTGGTATTTCTATTAATAAAAAGAATTCACACAAACTTCAGATATGTTAGGAAAATTCCTATCTCTGCAATGCTCCTAGCAGTTGACTGTGGTATTTGACATCGTGGGGATAAACCAAAGTCAGTAACAAATAAAAAATGAGTGCAGCATGGGCTGGCTGTGCCGACCCCCATGTTTGCTCTTCATCCTGGAGACCCCAGGTGAGGAGACAGTGAGCAGAGTTTCACAGTCTCTCCTTCTCCTAGGGAGTCCAGGGGCGCACTGGGCAGCCGCGCCCTCTCACATGACAGTATTTTCATTCCTGAGTCGGGACAGGACCCGCCTCGGCCTGTGCGGGTGTTCTCCCAAGAAAACGTGTGTGACCGGATTAAGGCTCTGCAGGTAATTTTTCTCTTGGCCGTGTCACTGGGTATGTATGTCAAACATGAGTTGAGATGTTTTAAAATTATTCCTGCTTGGTTCATTTGATATATTTAAAAGTATAACTGTGTGCCTGTCACAATTTCCCCAAGACATCCAGGTTAGTCACAACTGAATCTTGGCCCGTTCTAAGTTACAACTCCTCATTTTCCAGGTGACAGCCAGAGAACTGGTGGCAGATGGTCTTTCAGTTCAGTCCTCTGAACCCAGATAAGGGCTCAGACAAGGGCGTTGAAAATATCTCCTAAATGGGTGAATTGGGGCAGGAGGCTTGTTGATAAAAGTCACCGGGGAAAACAAGAGCCATTGTCCTTTATTTCAATCCAGCTAAAAATACAGTGTAACGTGAAAGTGGGGCTGCCACCTCCTCCAGGGAGCCTTCCTGCCAAGCGGGGAGATGATGCCGGCATGAGTTCTGAGGATGATGGGCTGCCCAGGAGCCCCCCAGAGATGTCCCTTCTGCACGACATCGGTCCCAGCACAACCATAAAGGCAAGTCAGCCTGTACCCCACATGTCTGTCCTCCTCCACCACAGAGGGCAGCTGGGTTCCTAGTGGCCACTGCGTGACTCCCACGAGGCGAGGCTGGGTGTGACGCAGCAGGAGGCATTCCAGTCAGGTCACTGGAGCCCACAGTTAGTTAGTATTTCATTCTTTGAGCAGAAATTCAGGTCTTGTTAGGAGATAGGGGTTTGGTGACATTCTTTTTGATGGTTAGATCTGATACAATCGAATCCTTGCCTTGTTTTTCCTGTCTGAGCAGATGACCAGACAGTATCTCCTCTCAAAGAACGAAAGAGCCTTTGTGTCTGTTCTCTGTTGTCATGAGGCGTGGCTGTTGGGTGAAGGGAGTGGTAGACATGTTTGACTTAACACAGGCTCTCATGCCTGAGTAGTGGACAATAAGAACTTGTTAGGTCAGAGCTAAGGATGTGAGGCTTGGTTCTGGTAAACAGGGGAGCAGGCAGGAGAGGTATTTATGGCCTCCGCAGGGCAGGGGAACTCATCCTGGACACCACCCTCCCCATGAGGAGGAACTGAGCTCTTACGAATGAGCAAACAACAAAGTTCATGGTGCCTCCATTTTCAGCCCATACCATCTACTAGTACATAAATGATCATTTTTCTCTTGTAGACACGCCTGCTGAGTGCTAGACAGAGTTAGAGTTATGCATGCTGATGCTTGGGAAGCAAATGAAGTCCAGGATCCCTTTTTTATAGCCACACTCCTGCCCTGGTGGGGAGCCGTTTACAGGGAGGCCTCCGGGGTTTCATTGTGACTCAGCATCTTGCAGATTCTGTGCTGCTCTGAAATATGGTCAGTAGTCACTTCAACCTGGATATCCAGAAGCCCTACTGCAAAGGCAGGGAAAAGAGTATCTCCTCATTTGTGTGTACTTGTGGGTGTCCAGGGGGTCACTGATGACAGGCCCAGGAAGGGCTGTGGTGTGCCTGAGTGTAAACAAGCTCCAAGATAAACAAGCTGCAGGATTCTCCTGAGAATTCTGCTCTAGGGGAGCTTGTCCCTGCTTTCTCCACAAGCAGGGTCTGAGGACAATACACTACCCACAACTGCTCTCCCACCTCGAGGAGAAGAGAAAGAGGACAGGAGGGTGGTGTGCCCCATTGCTTGGCCTTCAAGCCAACACCACACTCCTTAACACCTTAAAATGCCGGAGAAGTTAATAGGCTTATGTTGTAGTTATCATGTGACAGAGACATCTTTGCACCCTCAGGTGTGCACCCTCAGTTGTGGACACTCAGGACCACATGCAACTTGGTGTGTTTTAGGGCCACATTATGGGGAAGATGTCTCTCATGAACCTTTACTGACTGACTTGTCCCCCACCATTCCATCACAATGATGTTCACAGCATCATTGTTCTCTGTGTTTAGAAGGGACAGGAAGTACAGCAAACAGGTTGTTTCTAACTCTGCTCAGGAAGGAGTGAGCCCAGCTCCAAACCCACAAAGGGCCATGATGCGCAAACTCCACAGTTAGCTGAGTGAGAACCACTCATGCTGGGCAGGGCTGACTTCATCCTTCTCAGCACCCCTCCTGTGGTGGTTTTGTTCTTTCACAAAAAACATCCTGGGATTTTATAAATTATTGTATAATATGAACAATCCACTGGCTTCATAGGAAACCAAAATCTGAGCCTTTAAGACTTAAAAAAAAAAAGATAACCTTTATCATCGTGGTTTTGAAGATACAATGATCATATTTTATGCCCTGAAAGTTCTTAGCACAGAGACTGCTGATTGAGAGGGGGAAACAATACACGCTTTGGGGTGTGTTTATATAATACATGTTATTTGCTATAATGGCACCTTACGTCCCAAAGGGTGGGATTGCAGGCTGCTTAATTTTTTTCCTGCTGCAACACCTCACACAGGCTTACATGCTGGATAGAGAAACTTAATGAAGATTATTGTCAAAAAGGTCTTTAGTAACGATATTTCATGTCACTGCCAAGGTGATCTTTCTTGGCAGAATGAGTTTTTCAGGAAATACATGGGATTTAAAAAAAATTTTATTACCATAGGTGGTGGCAACTGATGAAACTTAATTTGGTGATTTTTAAAGTAAAATTAGATCTAACCAGTCATGTTCTAGGTGTCCTGCCATTAAGTACAGAACCTTGGAGAGAGCAGAGCAAACTGGCGAGTCCCTTTGCTCCAGGAGATGAGGGCAGGTCTGTGGAGGGTCTGGTGGCAACAGGGGAGACACACCCACTGCTATGCAGCACCCTGGGCAGGTTCTGTCACCTCTAGGAATCCGTCCTCAGAGGGTTTGGGAGAGGATCAGAAGAGATCAGGTAGGTCAGAGCCTGCCCTCTCCCCACAAGCGAAGGCCGGCCCCAGCACCCCTACTTCAAGTGGGCAGCTGCTCCTGAGCACACTGACCTCAGCCTCCGTCGATGGCTGAGCCCTCTTTTTGAGGACAAACATTGTAAAGCAGTCGTCACCCATAGTCACTCCCCAAAAAGTCTCTGAACCCCATGCCGCTCCCTTGGGGCCCTGTGAGCCGCGACCCCACCATACGGCCACAGTTAGACTTTTAAATCATCCACTTCCAGAATCACCCAGAAGCATGGATTTCAGGGAAGACTGACTGGGAGCCAGCAGTGCTTGTGTGAATGCTCAGATGCTGCCGACACACAGACGACAACCCTAGTCAACCTTTCTGCCCCCCTCCCCCTGGACCCCAGTCCACCTCCTGTAGTCACCTCAGTGATCAGAGATGAAGCTGTGGTTCTCCTGGTCCTGAAGGGGTTGGTCTTTTCAGGCCCTGAGACCTCACCCCACAGTGGAGAGAGTTCAGTTCCCAGCAGGAAGTCCCACCGTGACAGCCAGCACGGGGAGTGTAATGGGACACGAAGCTCCCAGCCAAGGGCCCCCGGCACAGGGGCCACAGTGGGCTGTGCCAGGATCATCTGCCCAGGCAGAGCAAATGCAGGGGACCCTGGGGGAGAGGAGCAAGGAATGCCTGTCCTTTAGGTTTATAGAGGGGTGACCAGAGGCCCTTTGTAACAAAAGTGATCATTCTGCATTTGCAAAGCAGCTCATCTGTTCTCTTGAGTTCCAGGCAGCCAGCAAAACAAACAAACAAACAAACAAAACAAAGTTTTATCAAGTGTTTATAATTACTGTTTCTCTAAACAAAGCCTGTAAACAAAGGGAGAAATGAAGGATTCTATATGGTTTTTAAAAGACCCATTCTACTTGTGACCCTTAAGAAGGACAACCCGGGGAAGCTGCCACCAGTTCCAGCCAAGACAACTTCCTGAGTCCTCAGCTACAGCAGGGGAAGCTAAAGCCACAGGTACCAAGGAAGTTGTGGCCAGGAGGCCTGTGGTTTATTTTTAAAGTAATTTTTCTTCCTTTAGTCCCATAAGAGCCTGAGTAGCTAAAATAAGAGAACTAAAATTGATTATGTCCATTTATTTTAAAAGATTTTATTTATTTACTTTTAGAGAGAGGGTAAGGGAGGGAGGAAGAGAGGGAGAGAAACATCAATGTGAGAGAGAAACATTGGTCTGTTGTTCCTTGCACATGCCCAGACCGGGGACTCCTCCTACAACCCAGGCATGTGCTCTAACCAAGAATCAAACTGGCGAATCAAACTTTCTCTTTGCAAGACAATGCCCAACCAACTGAACCACACCGATCAGGGCTGATTATGTCCACTTATAATGCCTTTCCCTCGTCTTAGTAATTGTCTTTTTCCATCTGACAGAAATATACTTCATACTTGCCTTAGAAGATGTAAGGGACCTTTATGTGAACAGGGGAAAAGCAGTGCCCTTGCAAGGTGGTCCTTGCCTCAGACACTCAGCGCTGTCTTCCTTCTGCCCCGCCAGCCCCGGATTAGCAGAGGCTCGGCATGGGGCTCCAGGGGTCAGCAAGGTGGACCCGTGCCCTGGGCACTGTTCTCCACCTCCTTCCTCAGGAGACTGTTTTTTACTAAATCATTGTGAGATACATAGAATTACGGGCTTAAGTTAAAATGTAAACTTGACACCACACCACCCATTATGATGGCTAATATAAAAAAAAGTTTCGGTGAGAACGTGGACAAATTGGAATCCCAGGGCACTAATGTTGGCAAAGTAAAACTGTGGCCACCATGGAAAACAGTATGGACGTTCCATGAGACACTGTGATTCATCAATTCGACTTCTGGGTAAATACCCAAGAGAATTGAAGGCAAGCGCTTGGAACAATATTTGCACACCCACATTCACAGTAGCATTATTCACAATAGCTAAAATTTGGAAGCAACACAAGTGTCCATCAACAATGCTTGAATAAACAAAGCGCGGCCAGTGCACACGAAGGGAGGAAGCCCGGACACACGCTGCAGCATGGGCGAACCTCCAGAACCTCATTCTGAGTGAGCTAAGCCCTTCACAAAAGGGCAAAACTGTCTGAGTCCACTTATGTGAGTTACTGAGAGAGGTCACATGCATGCAAACAAAGAACTGTGGGTGCAAAGGGCTGGGGGAATGGGAAATGGGGAGTTAGTGTTTAAGGGGCACAGGGTTTCAGTTTTACAGGAGGAAAAGTTCTGGAAAAGGATGGTGTGATGCTTGTACAATAATATGAATGTATTTAATGCCACTGTACTACACACCTAAAAATGGTTCAGATGCTAGCCCTGGCCAGATGGCTCAGCTGGTTGGAGCATCCCACGCACACCCCTCCCACCATACAGCAAAGGGTTAAGGGTTCAATTTCCAGTCAGAGCACATACGGGAGGCAACCTATCTCACATCAATGTTTCTCTCTCTCTCTCTCTCTCTGCCTCCCCCTCCCTCTATCCCCTGCTTCCTCTCTCTCTCAATTCAGAAAAAGATATTCTTGGTGAGGATTTAAAAAATGGTTAGGATGCTAAATTTCATGTGTATTTTACTACAATAAAAAAGTTGGAAAGTAACATTGGAGAAATTATATAAGCTGACACTAATATGGAGCACCATGTTACAATAGACAGTTTGTAGGTGGCAGGGTTGTAACTAAAACCAGTACCTCCCAGATTCTCTACACCTCACCCATCACCTGGATGTGAACAAATTCAGAGACGTGAATTTGTCATGGTGTTCAGTGGGTGCCCTGTCTGTTACTTTATGCTGTCAAATGTCTTTGCGGTTGACCCACTTGGACCTCACTCGATGGAGGAGCTTGCCAAGGTCAGTGGGCAGGGCCCTTAGGGTGTTGCTATTATTCTTGCATGTGACAGCCAGACTCCCTGGCTGTTCTGGGCTGTCAATTGCTGTCTTCTGTGGTATCAACCAGTAAAATACTGTAACTTAACAGATGGTAACGGCCAAATAAATGCATAAGGATCCAGAAACCTTCTAGAATGGACTACCACAGCTTCGCTGATGGACTGCCGAGTAGTGGGCTCGGTGCGTCCTGTGCCCAGCCCTATAAATCACGTCGCTGGGGCACGCTTTCCGCTTCCAGAGACAGGACCAAGCCTGGCTCTGCCCTTGGAGAAATCAAGCTGGTCTGTGTCATCAAAGAAGCTAGCTCTTACCTGAAGCACTGATGCCAGCAGCTGTGGGAGGGTGAAGGCAGTGATCCTGCTGAGGGTGCCTGGGACACAGGTTCTCTGCATGACCTGGCACTTACGCCTCCCAGCCCTTTCCCCTTGGACCCTCCCTGTTAAGACTTGATATAAAACACGTCCTTTAATTGGAAGGCAGGGCACAGGAAGAGGAGAGAGTTGAAGTGTTGTTTGCTGTACCCATTCATATCAAGAATTAATACTTGCTGTTTGCTCCTTGTCTCGTGAAGGTCTCTTTGGTTTCCTCGTCCCGGCCGCCCTCTCCAGAGCAGGTCTCCTCCAGGCACACGAGTGATGTCCCCATCCTTCCCCGGACCTTGAACAGCAGTGTGGCACCTGTGGCTGATTTCAGTCACCCCCCAGAATTCTCCTCCTGCCTGGACAATTCTGCGGCTAAGCACAAGCTCCTGGTTAAGCCCCGCAACCAGCGGTCAAGCAAAATGAGGCGCCTGTCTTCGGTAATTGTGTTTCTCCCCCACCCCTCCCACCCCCTCTCTCCTCTCAGGGTTAAGTGCCCCCTCTGAGTGACATTCTTGGCCCCATAGACCTGCTGCATGAGGTAGAGTTGTTTGTCTTTTCAACATAAATTAGATATGTCTCTCCTCTGCATAAATCCATCCTTCCTTCCTTCCTTCCTTCCTTCCTTCCTTCCTTCCTTCCTTCCTTCCTTCCTTCCTTCCTTCCTTCCTTCCTTCCTTCCTTCCTTCCTTCCTTCCTTCCTTCCTTCCTTCCTTCCTTCCACAACACTTATCAGGAACCTGCTGTGTGCTCTGGGTCCATTGCCTCCCCACTGCATTCATTGTGGAGTCCACAGTCTAGGCCTGGCATGCCCAGGCCCTCCCTGCCTCTCAGACTTCCTCTCACCCTCTCTCACTCAACATGTTCTGCCTCCTCCCTGCTTCTTGAGCTCTCTAAGCTGTCTGGGGCCTCGAGCCTTGTTCCTGCTGATTTCCTCCTCAAGATGCTGTTCTCCTGGTGACTTCTCCTCAGCCTTGGGGGTCTCAGCTAGAAGTCCTCTCTCTACTGAGGCTCACCTGACCATCCTGTGGAAAGCAGGCCCAGCTTCTCACCAGCATGTTCACTTCCTTCATAGCACTTGCCACACACAGATGTGACCTTTGGAAATATGTGTGCTCACTTGCTTATTGCCAGTCTTCCCTGAGACCTTGTTCTAGCTCTACTTCCAGGACCTGGAGCCAGGCTAGTCACAGAGCTGATATCCATTAAATATTTGTTGAATGAATAAACAAAGGGGTGAGTGAATGACAGAAGAAGCTGAACCACTAGAAGGGACACCTGCTGAGGAGCACGGGAATGTGCACCTGTAAGGACAGAGCCTTCTTTGCGCTGCCTGGGACAGCGGTCATCTCACAGTTGTGGGAGCCAAGGACTCACTCGTGCAGTACTTTGGCTTCATGGTGCCAGGGAATTCCTGGTCAACATAGGGTTGGTACCTTTCCCCTGCTTGGTGGTACCCACACTGCCTCACTCCTAGAGGAGCTGAGAAGCAGGATGTGGGCCAGCCTGGCCACAGAGTGTACAGTACTGAGAAAGAGATCCTCACAGACCACAGTTCTCTCCCATCATCCCTTGAGACAGGACTGTGGGGTGTTGATAGCATACCGAGGACAAGCTAGGTGCTTCACCGGAGACAGTGGCATGGGGTCACTCAGGATGTCAGGGACTCCCAGAGAGAGCAGATTTTCCTTTGGACATGTGGAATGTACTAGAAGGCTTGACATGAATTTTAAAAGGTTGACTTTTGAGGAGACTAAAGCTAGAGAAAGAAGCAAGCTATGGTTATCTCCAGGGCAGTGTGCCCTCATGCAAGCTGAGGACTAGGGGATGTATACAAATGCTTGCATATATCTAGGACATTTACAGTTAAAGGTCCTGACCTGCCTGTCCTTGTGCTGAGTACAACCACAGGGCAGGGACAAAGCCACCTCCCTCTGGCCCTCACGTGTGGGTCTTACTCTCACAGGATGTCTGTTACCTGACAGATATTGCCTCCCCCAGCCACAGCCAGGCAGGGGGAGACCCGGCCCCTGCTTCAGGGGGAAGTGCAGCATCCCTTCTTCCTGCCCTTTGGGGAAGAAGAACTATACTTCTTCTTCTTCACTTTTGAACTTGACTTAGCTCTCGAACCATGTTTTTTAGAATAATAAAATGTTTGATTTTCTCAGACAGTTTAGGTAAACACAATCTTTCCTTCATTTAAACTGTCATTTCCATGTCTTTCCCTCCCCTCCGTGCTAGGAAGCAGCATTGATAAGTATTCGGAGGCATTCATATTTTTCTGACTGGGCAGTTATCTGGCTAGTGGTCACCAGTGTCCCTGTTTGGTCCTCAGGTGGAGGCTTCTGTTCTTCAGTGTCCTCAGCCTCCTTCACCCTCTGATCAGGAGGACCTTCTCGCTAACCTGGCCCCTCTTGGGGACCACAGTGCTTTCTGATGCTCCCATCCTGCTCTGCATGTAGGGACAAGCCACCACACTGACCCCTCTGCTGCCCTCCTGACCCCAGAATGTCTGTGGAGGTTCACTGAGGTCCAAGTTTCCTCTGCTTTTATGATCCCCCACAATAGCCGGGATTTCTTTTTCTGTCACCCACCCATGCCTAGCCCAGACTCAGTCAGTCACCTGTGGAGTCCTCTACTTTATTCTCTTCCTCCTGCTGCTCAAGTTCCTTCCTCCGTTTGGGCAGAACAGCCATCCATGCCCAGCCAGGCATCTCCAGCTCCCTTATCAGTGGGGCAAACGGTCCTCCCCATCACCCAGGCTTTGACTCTTTTGGAGTTCTAGAAGAGAGCAAAAGGGCTTTCCTCACCTTAAGAGCCCAATCTTGCATAGTTAAAAAAATAATCCTTGGCTATCAAGACTGTAATATTTATTTCAAGTTTTAAAGACACATTCACGTGTGCATTTGGTTGAATCTATCTGCCCCCATGCAAAGCAGAGGTCTGGAAAGATTAGCTCAGGCTGTTATCTTGGCATCTTACCATGCTGCACGGAACTGTCCCTGTGTGCACAGAGGTGGAAAACCTATACGTGTTTTTCTAACGTCACCACACCGGTCAGCCCTCATCCCAACCCAGGCAGTTCCGGGAGGAGCGACTGTCAGGAATTCTACCAGAAGCAGCATGGTCACATGACTAGATTAAGGTTACATTGCTGGCAGAGTGTCCAGCCTTAAGTCTCAGGTCTCAGACAGAGACTGGAGCCTCCCTTCACCCCAGCACTGCTCATCAGCAATGTATCCTGCTTGGAGATTGTGTGGATGCTGCCCCCAAGGCTCTTTTTGGTGAGAGGAGGTTGATGAGTAGAATAGGCAGCCAGGATAGTCCCCATCTGGGTGCAGGCTGAGCAGTGGTCCTCCACTTCCACCTTCTCAGGAGAGCCCTGAGGAGGAAGTGACAGGGAGCTGGTGGAGGTGGAGTGGGTGAACCCATCCTTGCTGCTGTACCTAGCCAGAGAGTCCAGGTGAGCTGAGGCCTCTTTCTTCCCTGCAAAGCCTCTGCTCAGCGTCCAAGTCCATCCCCCAGAGCCCGTATTCCATGCCAGCCTTTTCCCTGCCTGCCCCTCCACTGGAACCTCCTCAGAGCTGCCAGTGGCTCAGGTTGGGGTGGACCCACGTGGGGCCTGCTCCTCTGTTCTGTATGGACTTAGAATGGGTTCTAAGCATTAAAAAAAATGTGGCCCACATCCTAAAAAGGGTTTCAATATCAGTGATTTTCTGTAACAGCAAAAGGCCAGTAATGCCTTTGTAGCTGCAGCTTTTGAAACTTCTCCTGTAGATTTCCTTACACATCTTCTTTTTAGACCCAGAAAAATAGGATCGTGCATCTTGGCAAGAGTAGTTTAGGTATTATTGTTCAAACATTCCAGTTATCCTGTGTTCTTTTAGCAAGGAGATGCTGGCTGGAAAATGTTAAAAAAACATCAACAAACAACAAAACCCTGTTGCAAACATACCTGGAGTGTTTCCTAAAAGGGGGAGGAAAGCACTGTGTTTGTGCAAGAGCCTGGGTAACTTTCCAGCCCAATGTCATGAGCTTTTTACAAAGATCGGTCTCAACACCCTCTGCCTTTGGGTCATTTTCATGTATGGCTTTTGAATGCTTCATGATTCCCTTGATTTCCTTTGCTTCCTAAGAGAGCAGGAACTGATTTTGTGCATGGTAAGGAGGAAGTTGATTAAATCTAAAAAAAATGCCACAAGACAGTTTTAGGGTTTAATGAGAGAGGGGAGATTCATAAGCCTCAAGGAAGAAGCAAGGAAGGCTTTCTGTCGGAGTGGCATTTTAGACAGTCTTGGGGGTTACTGTAGAGCAGGGGTCCCCAACCCCTGGAGCACGGACCAGTACTGTTCCACGGCCTGTTGGGAATGGGGCACACAGCAGGAGGTGAGCTTGAACGCAGTGTGCTTGAATCACCCCCAAACCATCCTCCACCCCCGGTCTGTGGAAAAATTGTTCTCCATGAAACCAATTCCTGGTGCCAAAAAGGTTGGGGGCCGCTGATGCAGAGAACCGTGGAGGTATGAGCAAGTTGCTCAGACCCTACAGGGGGAGCTCGGCTGGAGTAGGGAGCCAGGGAAACCAGAGCAGAGACTATAGGACTAAATTTAGATGAAAAGAAAAGGGCTCACTTTATCCCATAAACTTTGGTTTACTGTTAGTCCTGTTTGACACGATGGGAATCACGTTTCAGGCAAACCAGTCTGCCCTGCTATGAGAGTGCGGGCCTGTGGAGAGAGCATTGAGGAGGAGGTCATCTCTGAGGGCGCCCAGGGCTGCGGGGTGCCAGCGTTCCACTGGGGTCATCAGCTGGTCCTCGACCAAGGTGTGGACCTGTCTGAGCTCCCTGGGGGGTAACAGTCCTTTTCTCACTGGGATGAATGGAGGAGGAAATGAAGTAATGAGTATAGAGCACAAAACACACAGCGACCTCCACCTGGTCTTGGTCCCCTTTCCTTTGCTTTGCTCTGTAGAGCACGGTCCACCAGTTTTGGGGCTCAGCCACGGGAGCCTTAGGCCACATTGATTTTGAGGGCATAACTGCCACTGTCCTGCTGAAGCCTGAGCTTGTGAGCCAACGATCCAAAATAGACCAGTAAGGGAGGGACTAGAAAAAGGCAACTGGATGTGAGTGTCCACTCAGGTGCCGGCTTTTGAGACAACTGCTGCCTTTAAACCATATGATGCCTCAAACAAAGTGGGCCAGTTGCAGGTTTTCTGATCAGTGTGTGGTGCTGTCTTTGTCCTCTCATCTCTCCTAGCGGGCACAGTCTGAATCCCTGAGTGACCTGACCTGCACCCCCGAGGAGGAGGAATCAGATGAGAAGCCACTACTCACGCTCAGCTCCGGGGAGGAACCCAGTGCTGGGCAGCAGGGTGTGGTCCTGGATAGAGGCCCTGAGCCCAGGGGACCAGCCGCCATGCTGCCACCCGGGGGGACCCGTGCCAGACGGGCACGCCTGCAGCACTGCCTGGCCCTCAGTGCCAGTGCTGAGGAAGAGAGCTCTCCTGGGGACACGTCCAGCCGCCCAGCTACCCCGGAGGTCGCGGAGCCTGTGTCCGGCCCAGCCCCCTGCTTGGAGTTTCCCCTGCTGGCAGAAGGCTCCCTGTACCCTGGGCCCAATGGCAGAAGTCAGAGGGAGGAGCTGTCCCTTAAAAGCACATGTCCGCTACCTGAGGACATAGCTGATGAGGTGGTCTGTGTTTCTGGAGATGCCGAGACTTTGTTATCGCCCCACGTCCCTGAGGAAGACACGACACCTCCTGGGACCAACCCCACTATCGTCTTAGAGACGCCCCCTGGTCTAGACGGGCCAGACCACGATGCACAGAGGGAGGCGGAGCTGACACTGGCGGTGCCCATTCCAGAGGCAGCGGAGACAGAATGTTCTGAGGACCACGCCCCAAGCCTCCCAGCCCCCAAGAGCTGCTTAAAGCACAAGGCGCTGGTAGCAAGCAGGAGCCTCAGTGTGTCCCTGACCCCACCCACCTCAGAGTCCTCTTTAGAGGAGCCCACCCCCTGTGCCCTGGACAAAGAAGCCACCCCCCAAGACTCCCCTGTGGCCGAACAAGCCGAGTCCCCACAGAGGGGGCCTGAAAAGGAGGCACCGGAGCATAAAATGGGGAGGGGAGGTAGCGAGCCACGGGGCGTGAAGAAGTTCTCTGTGTCCTCTGGCCGGGCATGGCCACGCACAGGCCACAGAGGACGGCTGGGGCACCCTGGTCCTGTGGGCCCCACTGCTGTCCCTTCCACTATCCGGCTGCCCCTACTGAGGAGCAGCCTGGCCTGGAGGAGCGAGGCCGCCCTCGATGACCTCCAGGTGCTTCCAGAGTGCCAGAACCAAAAACTGGACCCTCAGGAGCTGCCTTCACCAGCTGAGTGTGGCTCTCAGGACTCAGGGAACAGGGTGGCCAGCCAGGCTGGGCCAGAGTGGAACCCCCAGGATGTGCTGACCACATCGGTCGCAAGAGACCCCTGCCCTGCTGCCCAGGAGCCACTCACACGTGAGGACAGAAGCCCCTTCCCCATCAAGCTCCGGTCCACATCTCTCTCTTTCAAACACAGAGATGTGTCCTTGCCAGAAGTGAAAGGAATCAAGAGGTATAGTGCTGAGGTCAGGCTAGAAAAAGGAGGACCAACTCTGTTCTCGAAAGATGACAAGTGTCATATGGGGCTGGCCCCCAGTATTCGGGGAGCCAGGTCCCCCAATGACCAGGGAAAGGGGAAGGCCCGGTCATCTGAGCAGCTGGGCTCCAAGCCACCCCTGCCCAGGAAGCCGCTTCTGCAGGCCCTTACCCTCCCCTACCCGCCTTGGTCCCCTGATGTCAGCCCCGGAGAGCTGGAGAAGGCCGTGCCACCCCCGGGCCCCAGAAAGGAGAGTCGGACAGTGGAAAAAAGGTTGCCCCACCGGGAAGCTGGTAAGAGCTCCAGGCCCGTAGTGGGCTGGCCTGAGCATGTTTGGAAAGGGTGGGGCAGTGGGAAATCACATTAGTGGGAATAACTTGCTGGACATCTACCAAATATGTAAACACTTGGGTGAAAACCCTATTGTAGAAGAATTGGAAGAAAAAGTCAAAATTTCTTATGGTACCACTCATGTGTTTGATTAAGACTTAGGAGTGGAGATTAGAGAAGGGGCAACAAATGCCAGGATTTTGTGTAAGTCAAGAAATTGCCCACACCCATTTTGCAGGGCATTTTTTCCTAAGAGGACGTGGGCCCCTCTGTAGAGCACTCACGTGCTGCTTCCACTGTTTACCTTGGCAGGTCGGTGAGGCCCAGAATCTGGGAACAGGTGCTCTGGTTGGTGGAGGCTTTGCCAGGGCCTATGCTCTTCTTGGTTGTAAAGGAAGCATTGGGCTCCTCTTGTCACTTAGTGTCCTGACCTTTAACCCCAAGGAAGTGTTTCCCCAGTTTAGTAATTAGGTTCTCAGGGCCCAGTGTCATACAGGAAGCACCCTGTGTATTGGAGTCACAGCCTTTGTCAAGCGTGAGCCCTCGGAGGGTGGGCATCGGTTAGCTTCCTGTCCCAGAAGGGAGACAGTGTGAGGGTGGGGGCAGAATACAAGATGACTTTTCAGTTACAGTGTTTCAGATGAATGAACAGTCTGTTGGAAATGGGTGTTTGCAGTGGAGCTGGAGAGTCTTTGGTTGGTTGTTTCTCTCATCAGTGGAAGTCAGTGTGCTGGAGAACGGAGCTGCACAAAGCAGTCGCGTGCATTTTTGATGAGGACCTGGCGTGGGGGATGGGTAATTTTTCATGGTAAATTTTATTTAAAAAAAAAAAACTTTCATTCAGGTTATTCTAAGTCCAGGACCCCACTTAAGCACTGCGTTGCAAGACAAAAGAAAATAGAACCCAAATTATTCTCCTAAGGGCCCCGCACCCTGAAAGCAGGATGAGAACACACATAGGAAGAAGAAAATAGCTCGCACAAAGCAAGCTGAAGACAGGTTCAAAACCATTCTAACCTTTTTTGTCTCCCTCTTCTTTGGAAGTTGGTAAGAGTGCAGTGTACAAAGTGCTTTGAGGTCCAGAGGTGACACCCAAGGAGCAGGCAGTGCCAGGGAGAAGGGCCAGGAAAACAAAACGCCCCCAAAGAGCGAGTGTGGCCTTCCTCTCCTGCTCCCTGGCTCCATTAGGATATTTTGATGTTGCTGCCGCCACTGCATCAGGGCAATCAGTGAGGGATCTGGGGGAGGTCCAAGCCATAGCTGAGTATCCATTCTGCCAATTTCCAGCAAGGTTACTGAGGCTGTCCTGCAGCGATTCAAAAGCCTTTGATTGAAACAGGGAGGAAGGAGGGGACTTGCTCTGTGCAGATAAAACCCAGACATCAACACCATCTACCTTCATGACCCAAGACTGAAAATGGCCCTCAGAGGTTTGCTGCATGAGTAGACGTAAAAGCAACATGCTCATGTTTGTGGTAGGAGCTGGGGAGGAAGCTTCAGAGAGCTGTGCTTGGCACGTTAAACACCCATAACTTCCTGTACCGTCGTAGTTGGGCTCTGTTCACTGTCAAATGCCTGGGTGGGTCAGCAGTTAGAGGCCCTGGGCTTTTTATAAAGTGCAATATAGTATTTATTTACTAACAGCCTGGCTTAAATAGAAGAGAATTGTCTTTTCCATCTATGTGTATTAACATTCTTTGAGCCACAGAGATAACCAATTTCGATGAATTCCAGAGTGAAAGAATCTAGGTTATGGGCACCGATGGTGATTTTCATTTCAGTGCAAAGAGGAGGGAAAGAACTACCCACAATCTTTTGGGAACTGACCCTCCCAAAGAGGGTGGCATTTGAGGGACAAGTGCTAGAACAGGCTGTGGCTACTGCCTGGTCCCCCAGAACCTTGGGGTGCAAGGCTGCCTCATGCAGACCAGAGCAGGGTCCCGGGGTCTGTGCTGCTGGCCCCCGCCAGTAAAGCCGCCTCAATGCCATTCCCAGACATTGGATCTGCTTGAGGTTTAGCTCGTTATTATTACTGTTACTGTCATCTTCATCCCTTGCAAATTAGCTGAAGGCAATTTAGTTTGTATAAAACATACAAATCAGGAAAATTTAATAACATTATTGCTCAGTTTTCCAGAAAGTTCTAATTATCTTGTAGGGGCAGGCACTTTACCCAGAGCTCCCAATGGGCTGCCACCTCCCCCATCCCTTTACCAGGGGTACAGATCATCAAGTCAGGCACCGAGGTGTCCCAGACAGGTACACAGTTCTGCCTCAGGGACTAAAGCTGCTTTATGCCCCCAGCACTCCTGCTTACTCTTTCTCTCCCCCCCCTCCCATCTTCCTTCTCTGAAGGCCTGCAAAACTCCTCAGCAAAGGCAGCTGGGAGAATTCAATTGCAGTTGCAATAAACAGAGGAGCCCAGCTTGCCAAGTGGACTGGGCCTCACAGGGCCATTCTGAGGTGGCGACTACAAGCCCAGTGCCATCTTTGTGCTCATCTACCACAGGACACCTGTCTGTGACTGGCAGGCAGGTGGCCTGGGGTCATCAGACTTGTTCACATGTGCAGGATGTTGCCCGTCCTCCTGTTGGGCTAGCTCAGTCCAGAGTGTAAATTACAGCTTCCCGTGCACAGGATTAAAATGAGAACAAAGCAGTCGGAGATTCTCTTGTAGAAAAATGGCAAAATACGGAAAGTGTGTAGAAAAAATAATCACTCATGAGTCCACTCTCTAGGCGTTATCCCTGTTGGATTTCCGTCTAGTCTTGTGTATGTGTGTGTGTGTGTGTGTGTGTAATTTATTTTCTACATAGTTGTGGTCACATGGTAGATGCTCTGGACAGTAGCTGGATTGCCACCCCCACCTGGGGCCTTATTTGATAAGCAGCCTCAGCCTCCGGTCCAGCCCATTCCATCTAGCCTGGACAGGTGACATGGGGACACGGTCAGGTTTCTGACCCTCTTTTTCTAAATTCTCAGGCTCACTCCTTCATGCATTTGTTCTTTCAACAGAAATTTCACACACCCCTGCCACGTGCACAGCACAGTGCCACCCCCAAAGGAAAGCACAAGGACCTGGCCCTCCTGGAGGAGGCAGGTGGCAGCTGGGTGTCATGGGGGAGTGTTAGATGCCCATCTTGTCTTAGGATGGCAGAGACATTTTCCAGAGGAAATGAACTCAAAGAGACTGTCACTTAATGAAGTCATTTCAATGTATTGAGGTTCGTTTGAGTGGAGTACAAGGGGGATGGATATTTTTGGTATCATTCTAAAAATATATTCATATGTCTTGAATTCTTAAAGAAAACCAACCTTGTTCACACCTCCCTTTCTTTCTACCTTATCCTTTCCTTCACAGTCCCTTCCTGAGCAAGTGTAGTCAACCCTCTGGCCTCCGTTCCCCATCTTTGCTGTGCTCCTCAAACCACAAATGTCTCCCTGCCGCCCCTTACAGGACATGACACGTCATGGATTCCCATCTGTTTCCTGACGTCCGCTCTTCCCTTGACTCTTGCGGCCACAGCAGCCAGCCCCTAACCATCTGTGGACGACCCCGAGTTGACATCTCAACATTCATAATTCAGTGTATCAACCCCTCACCCACCCCAGACCATTGCTCTTCTCAGTACCCCCATCTATCCAGGTACAGAAGCCAGAGACCTCAGAGTCATTAAAAATATTTTAACATGGGGTATACTAAAAGGCCAAAAAATTATAGGAAAAATTGCCTTGTAATTCTCCTTAAACAATGACATAAAAAGGGACTTGCACTTCTGCTGGAGGCGGAGTAAACACACTCCACTTGGGCCCTCCCATGGATAGAGTTTAAAACCGGGACCGAATGCAGAGAGCACATGGCAGCAGACGAAGGGCTGCTGCTGGCGGCGGGGGGATGAGGGCACTAGAGATGACCACGCCTGTCCATTTCATCTCTGTTCACCTGATCCTTTCTCTAGGATTGATGCTTAACACTGGGTTTTCTGGTTCACAGAGCATGTGCAGTTTTAAATTAACAGAAAACTAACTTCTGATGACCCTCCACAAAGCTGAGCCTGGATCACACTTCTCTGAGCAGGACAGAGACTCTTTCTCTGCCCTCTCATCTCAACAGTCATCACTCAGCATTTAAATAGATGGATAGCACCAAATGTTGTCCATCTCTCAAGTTGTTTTTCAGTCTGATGGATGCAGATGGTTAGCTGTGTTTTACACCTTGGTCGGAAAGTCCTGGTCATCCTAATACTAAATGTCTTTGTCCTCCTCAGCTCTGTCCCCATGTCAGCCTTCACCACCTTTAACCTGACTTCTACAGCACCTCCTCCCCCAGCTGTCTCGTCTCAGCCTCTTCCCAAGTCATGGGTCTAACGTGGAGCTTCCTCTTTTAAAAAACTCTCAGCGGTATTTTGTGTTGTATGTAGAACAAAATTTAAACTCTGAGGTAAGGTATCTAAGGCATTTGAGATTTGGGTCAGAGTCAACAGTTCTGCCTTCCTGAGTTTACCTGCCACAACTTCATTCCCTCTGTGTCTCCAGCCCCACCCCTGCCACAAGCTCCCCTCTGCATGCTGCACACAACCTTGCTATCTCTGAGCACACTGCACCTTGCCCCTGAATTTGAGCTCCCTGAAACTAGCAGGGTTTGTTTTCTCTGCCAAGGACCTGTGCCTGGGAGGCCTGTCCTCTGGTGGGTGGTCCTTGACTGTGCTCTGACGACCAGGTGCAATGACAGGGAGGGAAGCCAGCAGGGCAGGGGCCGGGGTAGTGAGATGGTAGAGCCTGGGTTTAGAGATTTTACTCCCAGGTCCACTTCCAGGTGATGTGAGATTCTGATCTGGTATGTTTCTTAACCTGTGAGTCTCAACATCCTCCTTTGTCAAATGAGATTAGTAATAGGCAGCAAAAGCTTTTTAATGTAATACAGTTTCATACAGTCCAGCCCCCTTTTCCTAAGATGTACCAA